CAATGCAGCACGTTATATCGAGGAGTATCAAAACAATGATAAAAATTCTTACTACTACAGTACACCCGTAGTAAGAAGCATGATGCAGACGAAAAAAGAAGAACATCCAAAGACTTTTTTAAAAAGTGTACGCTAAAAAATATTGTATCAAGATAACAAGTTCAAAGCAAAATTTTCAAAACAACATTGGATGAAAAACAAATGAATAAAAGAGGAGATATACGGGTATTGAGCACTCTTTGGACAGTGGAGCATGCTACATGCACGCGGATTGATTACGTAAACGAGGAGATCCAGAACAACGAGGACAATCAAGGCTTGTTTGCTGCTACTTCAAGTTTCATGCTCTCGCAATCATCAGGCCATCAGGCCACACTGTGGCCTGATGATTGCGAGAGCATGACACTCTGAGTAGCGACTAACAAGCCCTGATTGTCCTTGTTGTTCTGTGTATCACGCTCTGCCTCCGCCATGGTGTTGAACACTGTCAGCACACTAGGTGTATCCTCTGGTAAAGAGGAGATACAATACTAGAATTATGGCTTTAAAAAGAACTCGTCAAGATCAATCACAGCACAGCACTGCCGGGTGGTAGGTGAGAATTACTACCACAGGATGAAGTTTGGCAGAGGGTGACGAGACGTCTGTATGTGTGTGTGTGTGTGCGTGTGTGTGTGTGAGAGAGAGAGACAGAGAGAGAGACAGAGAGGTGTTCACGCAAAGGAGAAGCCCTGGCTGCCGTGCCGGACTGCGATGAGCACTTTGTCACGGAGCTCCGACTTGGACGTGTAGCGTGGCAGATCTAGACGATTGAAACACGTCGATGCCATGGGAATCTATCCAGCATAGAACATGCACACGTGAGCGCGCGCGCACACACATACAGACACGCACACGAATACACACGCAGAAATGCACACACACACACACACACACACACACACACACACACACACACACACACACACACACACACACACACACACACACACACAGTTGAGATTCAGGGCCGGTATTCTGACTAGCACCACCGTCTTCCTATAACAGACCATAATTATCTTGCACTAGTAAGAAGTGCTGTTCGTACACCAAGTGCACTCACACAGTCATGGGTGCACGCCAATCAACGCGTGTTGCGTGTACGGTGGAAGTGCCATTTCTGTGATAAAGAACTAATTCTTCTGCACAATGGTGTTCGTTTTATCAAGAGTCGACTGCATTGTGAAAATGACGTGACTCCGAAATCGAGTCGTCCTTTTATGTACATGTAGTTGAACAATCTGGAACACCAGATATTTTAACGTCAATTAAAGTTAACAATCTCCGGATTTTGTGAGTTAGCAAGGTGAAATTCTAACGAATTCTGTCTCAAAACCGGCAAATGACTGTACATGTACATATCGTTTTGCACATAACGACTTCAAATGTTAACGATTTTTTAAATTGGTCAAATCGCTTGAAATAAATGTTCGATAACATTACTGGTCTTAGAGTATGTAAGAGAGAGCAAGAGTACAAAACCAACAGAACAGTGTGCTACTCATATCTCGAGCTGTGATGGGTGCACCCACGGTGGCAGAAATTATGATCAAGTGTGTACGCTTTCCCGCGTTTGTTTCATAGATACGGTGAGAGTTGATCAGGTTCAGGACACATCGATCTATCGTCCGTTGTTCTGCTTCGAATGCCGTAGCTGTGATGTACAAATTCTTTGTAATTTGATCTCTGGCTACGCATGATGGCATCACTGAGCCAAACAGCTGCCAAAGACTGATGTCATAAAAAATTTCCGCCATCGGCTGGGGAATCCTAGAGCTGCACACTATTGGTTATGTACTGTTGCTCCTCATGTGGGGCAGTGCCTCTGCTGTTTGCGTTACGCAGAGCTCACTGACTTGCCAGTTTGAGCACTCTGGCAAGTTACCGTTATGGTCGCCTGCAGCCACGCAGGAGTCCATTGCGGTATAATAGATGAGAGAGAGAGAGAGAGAGGGACAATATGGACAGGGACTATACGGAGAGGGACAATATGGAGAGGGACAACACGGAGAGGGACAACACGGAGAGGGACAGTACGGAGAGGGACAATACAGTGACAAACACTATACACAACATCTCCCTTTCCGGGGAAGAATGGGGGGGGGGGGGGAGGGGGACGAGAGAGAAAAGATGTATGTATACAATAGGTAGTGCTGAAACGATTACGATTTTCCTTAGTGGCTTAGCTGATACCATAACGATCAGCTTATCGGCTAAACGATTATTATTGTAACTACATCAGCACATGTACATTCTGTGAATTTTTTTACGAATCCAACATCGCCAACGACGGAAAGAGGGCGCATAGATCCGATGATCTCGCAACAAGTCCGTCAGCTGTTCGGACTGACCGGACGAATACAGACAAGACAGAGGCGACTCACTGGTTGCAACCCAAGAGCTGATGATGCCCTTCGCCTGTGACTTCGCTGACTCCGACGATGAAGTCAGAGAAGCCGGCCAGGGGTGCAGATCGGCGGATTTCGACGGATGAGCTGACTTGAGGCGCACCAACAAGTAACTAGTTGCTTTTTCCTGTCCATGCTCAAAATAAGCCCAGACGCCAGGCCTAGCTCGTCGTCGAGCAAATTGGTTTGGGAACCGTCGACAGAACGGAAAACACGAAACTGAAGACCACTTTACTGTCTTTAGCTCAAGACTACTTGCACGTGGAGGGAACTCCAGCCCCTGCTGATAGTGTTGACACATACTTAGGCTGCCAGTCCTGCATGCTGTATGTAAGAAAAGTAGTCAGCTGAAAAGACGGCGACGGTGATTGTGTCGATGTTTCTCAGATCGCGCTTGTACTTTTACACGTACATCGATGTTGCAAGTGTACAGTCATTTACATATTCGTGTCGTACTCGCTTTCTACTAAACTTTCGGTGCATGCACCCTTTGTGTGACGCCCAAAACAGGGGAAATCCCGTACCGAGCGTAAGTACCATTCTACTCGTTTAGCCGAAAAATCGAAATAACAGCTCGATCTATTTCTTATCCAGTAAGTAAGGAGTAATCGATATACTGTAAATATACAAATTTTTAGCAGCTATTTAATTTGGGCTATATTCGGCACCGACCCAAAATGCCTAAATAAAACACCGATGAAATTTTTCACAGCATCTGTCGCACTATACCATGCCCTCTACCCCACGCCGAAAATAAAACGCCGCCGAAATGTCAAAAATCGTGAAGTGCCGAAATTTTGCAGCGCGGAAATTTTGTATATTTACAGAACCGTAAAATCCCGCCAGAGCAGTCTCTCCCATCCGCCCCTCCCTGACTTCTTGTCAGGGACGTGATTGATTGTATCCTCGATCGTCACAGTCTGCGATGCCGTACTGTACTGCAGATGCATGCTCAACCCCGTTGGAAATGTACGCAACAATGCCTACCCTCTTGACCAGGGATCAAACCCTTGAGTTTTGATGGGTCTGTACGACTCCTGGCTATTGACCTTTGGTCGGTGTACGAGATGCACGAACAGTTTTCGCAGGGTAAGCACTTTTTCATGTAGTACTCGTACTGAATGCGGCAAGTAGGACTCGCCCATCCGCCCCTCCCCACCTGAAGCGTCGAGTAGGTAGGGGCGCTCTGGCGGGATTTTACGGTAATCGTTTCAGCACTAACAATAGGTACACCATCTATTTTTCATTGCTTTCAGCTTCGGCCTCATTTTCTCTGTGCTGCGCTGATGAGTCGACAAAGGACGAAACAGTTCTGTCCACAGATTGAGAACTTTTGCTCCTAGGTATAACCAGTCGTGGACTCACTCCAAGCTACAAGCTCCTTACCATACTCTTGGGCCGACGCGCCTCGGACACTGTGAAGCCGTGAGTATTCCCCAGACCCTGCCGACAAAACACACACAACAGCAAACGAACAGACACACATGTTGCGGACTGACGAACCGGCAGTGATCCAGACAGACAGACAACCATGTATAGACCGTCTGGCATACAAACAGACAGACCCACCGGCAGAGAGACAGACATGGACACACAACAAACTAATAACGAAACGTGACGCTTCACATTGTTAGCTTTCTTTAGAAAAAGGTTTACACACAGAGACCGGCTTCTAACCAACCAAACTGACATTCTCCAGTAGAGGCAAGCACCCACACGCACCCCCCACACACACACGCGCACACAAACACACACACGCACACACTGCACACACTGCACACACACACACACACACACACACACACACACACACACACACACACACACACACACACACACACACACACAAACATACACACACATACACACACCTCACACCTCAGACATGCCCATCGCGGAAGCGATGATAGCGAACAGCTATGTTAGACATAGCAACTTGTGCTGGGATTACACCATTCAACAGCTTGCAAGGCTGATGAATTGACTGCCACTATTTTTTTAGCCTGGTATCCACCACACAGCTGTTTGAAGTGACTTTTTCTGGCCAGTGAATCCCTATTTTTCATTTTTCCATTTTTTTCTACACACACATCACACCACATACTGCGGCATACACTGGCTGTTGGTAACCACCCAGGAGAATACACACACATACACACACACACAGACACACACATACACAAACATACACACACACACGCACACATACAGCACCCCCCCCCCCCCCACACACACAAAGCACATGGCATCACCACACAGCACACCTTGAGTCCCGCAAAGCCTTGAGCTGGTAATCTCGTGAGAGATGTTGCAAACTGCAAGAGCAATGACCGTTCTTCCTGGCTCAGCGAGGCGACAACCTCCCAGAACCAACAAATACAGGCGTCACTGGCATTGAAGCCGGCATACTGAAACAAACACAGAGACACAGCAACAAAACAAACATCTCATCCCTGCTGCTGCTAAACTCACAATCTGCTCAGGCACGAGCCACGCTCACCCAGTTAGCTCACTGCTAATCATACAATCCCTTTAGTGAAGCGTTGCAATCCGTTCACGTGGCACAAATCTCACTCCGCTATCTCTTATAGGCCACAGGGGAATAAAGATTAGAAACTACAGTCCATTTCAAAACTATAGACGCGTAGGATTTTTGAAATATTTCAAATTTGGCTGGACCTTTTTGAGAATAGTTTTCGGAATATTGCTCAGGACCGCTCCACAATTACTCTCATATAGTTTCTAAACGATTGGATAACAGACGCCCAATTTGGAAAATTTTATGCACAAAGTGATCACAGATTTTATGTGGTATAGATGCTGGCATAACGGTTTTTGCCTAGGTACGCGTCTATAGTTTTGAAATGGAATGTACATCAACACTTGACACCACAGATGGTATGTTAAAAAAAAAGAGCTGATGCTAGCGACTAGTACTACGCATGGCAACTTTCAACAAGCAAGTGCAAGTGAAGAAAGCATACGCTCCACACGTTGCACTGCCGATGCCGCAGCAACATCCTAGCTCGTAATGTGTCAGTGTGGCGAGTTGAAGAAAATGATGAGCAACACGGGGCAACTGGCGAAAAACATACACCATATGTAACTAAGTTAGACATCGACACTGTAAGCTGAAATTGGAACATAGGGGTTTGAATATTCCGATAAGCCAGCATCCCAAATGGCAGGCTAACAAGAAAGTTGACAAAGGTGTTTAACTCACCCTAGTCAAGGCAGTGTGGAGGGGAGGGGGGGGGGGGGCTCTGGCGAATGTGAGTGTAACGTGGTTATAGGCTGCAGTGGAGTGATGAACGGGGCAGAGGGACAGATGGGAATAACATCACAGTACTTACGCGTGTGTGTTTTTTCCAATCTTCCACGTCAATTGTACTCACTCCGCAGAGTAATAGCTGAAACTCGGCCGGTCGAAACGGTGACAGCAGGGCACGAGGAACCACCTGAAACAGAGGCAGAGAGAGAGAGAGAGAGAGAGAGAGAGAGAGAGAGAGAGAGAGAGAGAGAGAGAGAGAGAGAGAGAGAGAGAGTGAGTGAGTGAGTAAGTGAGTGAGAGATTCTTCACCAGTTCTGGTATAGAATTTGTGGGGCAGGGCAGGTTGCACTGGCACCCATCACTATACTGTGATATAATGTTATGTACCTCAGTTTTAAAACCAAATGCAGATGCTAGTTTTATCGCCACAGACATAATAACAGTGGACATTCATTTATCACAGATATTTATTAAAAACTCAGATGGTGAGAAAAGTACTCAAGTACTCAAGTACTCCTTGTCAGTTTTGTGCTAGATTGTACACGTCTGACTGTTCAAAATCTGGTTTAGTTGGTGGACTCGATCACATAACTTGTGCCCACAATTTCCATGTTACAAAATATCTATTAACTATATCCAATTATGTTGGGAACTTGTGGGCTAACAGCCACACCTCAAATTGTCCTGCTTTCTACACTTTAATAACTCAAAAATTACGTTGTCCATTCAACGGTTCGGGCTATGACCATCACCAGGAAGAAGCGTCCAAACTCATCTCGGATCTTTTACAATACAGTCAGACCTCGCTAATCCGGTCCTCTTTCATCCGGATCCCTCGCCATCTGGTTACCGATTTACAGCATATGTCATGCATACATACAGTATGTGTGTTCGATTATCCGGTTCCCTCGCCTATCCGGATATAATCGGAAATGAAAACATGTCATAAAGAAATGCAAATGCTCGACGTAGCATGTCTGTGACTAATCTCCCACTGATTGGCAAGATAGTGGTATTACAGTGGACCGAACTGGACAAGCGAGGTGTGAACGCAGTGTAGAGTGTGTGCGGAGACCCACCTCACAGAAACCGTGAACCAGACACTTGACTTCATAGGCTATGCTATCCTCCAGCTTGAACTTGCTGAGCCGATACACGTAGCTACTCTGCAACAGTGGCAACACAACACACGCACAAACCAACAAACAAAACAAACATACACACACACACACATACACACACACACGCACATACACACACACGCACATACACACACATACACACACACATACATACACACACACACACACACACACACACACAGACGGACCAACACGGCAGTGAATAAAAGCCCAGCACAAAAACAGACTTGGTAGAGGCAACAGCACCAGCACCAGCACTAGCAGGGCTACATATAACAGATCGTACAAACGTGTGCATGAGTTTGGAAAAGCACCATTTGGACAACACAGTTCGTAAAACAGGCAATCAAGAGTACATGAAAACCAGAGTGTGCAGCTCGGATGGGTTGCTGTCGCGGCGAAATTCCGTGATTACATCATTTTAGTGATGTAGTGCGTACAAGCAGGATTCAAGCAGGTCTCTTTCTGCACAACTGCAGCTCAGTTGTACGCACTACGCCAATTCCCGCCTCATATCAGCACCAAAGATGATGTAATCACGGAATTTCGCCGTGACAGACACCCATAGCAGAAAAGACCCCAAGCTGCACACTCTGGTTTTCATGTATTCTTGACGCAATGCACGCCATACAAGTACATGTGTACAGACCAAGACTGCGCAGGCGGATTGCAACATCAAGGACTTGTTCAAGAAACGTGCGTACAGTGTATTTTAGTACGTGACCTCCTCTGTGAGGCGACCCAGGATCTGCTACTGACGTATATGCAGTGCTGCAGTAAAGTGATACAATCCAGGAATCTCGTGGCTGCAGCCACCGGTCCAAATTGTACACCCTGGCTTTCTAGAATTTTGGTACCCCCCCCCCCCCTTCACCTTGCTCTCCTGCAGCTAACATAACAATGTTGTGTACCTTGTTGCTATCGGTAACCAGGTTGGAGTCACCATTGCGTGCCAGCGGGAACTCCACCAGGTCTCCATGGGAACCGAGCGGAAGCTCTAGCTCACAGCAGAAGACGAGGTCATCAAGCACTCCTGCGACGCATACCCGAACACAAAACAACTGCAGTCAGCACACCATCTACAAACACAAGGCGTATTTCGTGAGCAATCAACTTCTCAAATTTCAATACAAGCAGCAAAAATCAGCTCATGGAAGGGACAGAAAGCACAAGACCGAAACCATAGGCAGCGGTTTTCAGGCTTCTGGAGATTCATGAATTTTCGGGAGAGGGAAAAGAGGAGAGGGCAGACGGGCGTTAGGATGGATACGAGTGCACAGCACGTCAAATATCCGCTTTCCCCCTTTTCTGTATTCCATCTCCCTCAAATTCACTCATTCCCACAATCCTGGAAATGCAGCTTGGGTGCTAGTCATGAAGTTTGTAGTCGCCTTGATGGCCACTCGCCGTGCCAAACCAACAACAGTCAACGGATAAACGGCGAACGAGTTCAGGTTAACAAACACTAAGCAAGAGCACACACTTCCGGCAGTTCCAGAACAGCGTTTCTGAAAAGCATTTCACGAGTATACTGTGGTGGAGCCTTCTCTTCAGATGATTAGTTGTCACGTTTGCCCTAGTTTCTGTACCATTGTCTTTCCTTATCCTTTTCGAGCTGGTTATGTGAACATAGTAAATTAAAAAAAAAATTGATGTACAGGGAAGACCAGAGGAACAAGAACACAATGACTGGAAGGTGGCTAGGGCGGTACAAACTTTCTTGGGAAAATTTTGACTGCATTTTTGAGTTTATCGGCAAGGCGGAGATGAAATTTTGAAAATGTTTTTCGGTGAATCTCTGGAGAATAGCCTTCTCTAGCTTCCTATAGTCTTATTTTTGCTTTTGGACAAGATTTGAAAACATTTTGTGTAAGGTCCGTGGAAAAAGAACACGGACCTTTCATAAAACCTTCTCAAATTTTGTCCAAAAGTAAAAATAAAACAAAAGGCTGAAGGCTCTTCTCCAGAGATTCATAGAAAAACATTCTCAAATTTCACCTCCACTTTGCTGATAAACTCAAAAATGCAGTCGGAATGTAGTCAAAATTACCCTCAAAAAGTTGTACCGCCCCACTTTAAGGTGTATTGAGCGTGCATTGCTCACCAGCGACGGGGTGATCCATTAGATACTGTACAGTAGTGCGATGTAGATTGCTGTCGACATGACGTAATTCATGTGGGTGATTCAATGAACGACCAAGCAACTGTGGGAGAGCAACGAGAGAGAGAGAGAGAGAAAGAGAGAGAGAGAGAGAGAGAGAGAGAGAGAGAGAGAGAGAGAGAGAGAGAGAGAGAGAGAGAGAGAGAGAGAGAGAGAGAGAGAGAGAGAGGGAGAGAGAGGAGAGAGAGAGAGAGAGAGAGAGAGAGAGAGAGAGAGAGAGAGAGAGAGAGAGAGAGAGAGAGGAGAGAGAGAGGGGGGGGAGAGAGAGAGAGAGAGAGAGAGAGAGAGAGAGAGAGAGAGAGAGAGAGAGATTGAGAGAGGGTGTAAGGAGAAGAGATAAAACAAAAGAAAAGTTGTGAGGCACAGGGAGAGAGCGGAGACAAAGGACAAATCGGACACACATGCAGGCCAGCAAAAACATGAAGTGCCTGATTAGCAAGCAAACAAAAAAGAAAGGAGAAGCAACATAGCAAATTGAGACGCAGAGAGTGCATAGGATTATCTCCAGTATGTGTGTGTGTGTGTGTGTGTGTGTGTGTGTGTGTGTGTGTGTGTGTGTGTGTGTGTGTGTGTGTGTGTGTGTGTGTGTGTGCGACATCGTCTCGGGCTCCGTGCCGGGCGGCGGTGTCTACCATTGCTGCTCAGGCGACTCCTCCGCCGCAGCGTGTGCGGCTCGCTCTCTCATGCTGCAAGGCCCACTGTGGGGCCTGTGGCCGATGCTGCCGCTCCACTCGTGGATTCCAAATCCATAGCTGCCGGAGATGGCTCTCTCGTCGTGCCGATTGAACATGGTCCCTGATCTCTCGGCAGACTGCCGACTTTCTGCCGACGCGCGTCGTTTTCCATGTTGTCGGCCCCGCGAGGGGACACGTGACCGTAATGGCAGTGTTTACCAGGACCAGGACCAGGTGTGTGTGCATGCGTGCGTGTGTGCGCATTCGTGTGCGTCTCAGACGGTATATATTGTGTTTTCTTCCACGTTTGAGCTGGCGACCTAATTCAACATGTCACTCACTTGCTTGATAAGAGGTTTAGCCATGGAGAAGTCCACTTGATAGCCATGTGCAAATGCAGAGGCTAGAAGACGGCCAATCATCATGAACTTGTCACGGCGAGTGCTGAGATCAATGTTCAAATTTCTAGCAAGGGGAATTGAAGAAGAAAGAGAGAGAGAGAGTTGAGAGAGAGAAAGAAAGAGAGAGAGAGAGAGAGAGAGAGAGAGAGAGAGAGAGAGAGAGAGAGAGAGAGAGAGAGAGAGAGAGAGAGAGAGAGACAGAAACGTTACTGAACGAACAGGAGCACGACTGACCATGACGTGTGGAAGAACATGGCAACGTCAACACACCAAGGTGCCTGCACAGCACACTGGTATGGAGTAGCAACTACATGTCCAGACACACGGAATCGCAGCATCACAAGCATGCCACCAACACCATAACACCTCAAGTCGCCTGATGGTCGCGTTGTGCAAGAAACCCGGAGTTGCGACAAATCTGCAAAACTCCGTTGCAGTTTGTGTGTAATAGTGCTCGACATTATTGTGTTGAGCCCTCTCCGCTGGCTAAAGGAAAATTAACTCCTTGTAGAACCTCATGTCACAAGTCTTTAAAAACCAAACGAGCACTGCAATAGGAACCGTTTGACTATTAGAAAAGGTTACGAACATACGCTTTTTTCAGTTTGTTGCGGCTGGACTTGACGGGGGCAACCTGCTGAAATATGGCAACCGGACGGGGCCTACAGATATGACACACAGAAAAAAAGCAGAACACACACGCACACGCGCACACGCACGCACACACACATACACACATGCACGCACACGCACGCACGCACGCACACACGCACACACACACACACACACAAATATGGTGCCCGGCCGGATGTCGTCACTCGCGAAGTTGACAGTATTGCAAAGACGTTCTATCAGTTCGAATACCACGCATAATGGCCTAGGTAAAAACAAAGCATAGCGAGGGCCCTGAGCTGGAAGCTCTCTCGTTTGTGTTTGGCTCTGTGCGTGCACCGCAATCTCAGTTCATGAGCATAGCATTTAGACAACAGAAAACTCGGGATTCAAATCCGCACACATGCGTCGCATCTAGACCCTTGCTTGACATGTCGCAGACATGCACATTCTAATTCTACCAAGATACTTCACTCTATGGTCCTAGCTTCTTCTGTTTTTAAAATTGTTTGTCCACACCTAAGATAGAATTTGAAGTTGAAGCCACCACTTCAGCTGTACTTATGGTTGCGGTGGTTGGTGGTGGCGAGAAGGAGAGCTCTGTGCCAGAACTTTGCGGCCTAGAGAGCGTGTGTGGGCAATCGTGTATTTACCGCCATATTGCCAGGTGTGTCTTTACCACCATACTAATCAACACATAAGATAGGATTCGAATAGTGCCCACGCGCAGATACGAAATAAAGCTCTGTGGACCCTAATTACCTCCATACGCTACTATTTGTACCGTCTTTTGAATAACTACGGGAATAAAGTTCAATAAACTTATCCACCGTTAAAAGTCTAAATGTTAAAGTGACAAAAACAAAGCAAAGGTTAGGGTACCAACAGCGATGGGATGAGTCTGCGACGTGTGAACTTTGCTTTTACCACTTGCATTGTTAGATGTGCTTGTAAAAGGAAGGACCAAATTGTTTCTTGTTTTCCGTAGTTTGTGTCCAACACTAACAGTTATAAGTAAGATGTTGTGTAGTCAGAAGGTGCAACAGCTAGCACTATACTCACTGATGTGATGCTGACATTCAACCACCTGAACTACGGATAACAAGTAACACGTTGGTCCTTTTCTCGTAAATTTAATCCTTGGCTCTCCATCCGAGTCTTAGTCTTGCATTGCTAGAAATCATATTTTGATATTTTTATTGCTGTAATTAGGCGTTGCTCCTCAAACTTTGGTTACTTCAGTCTCAGAATGGACTCGGATGGAGAGCCAAGGATAAATTTATAGTAAAGAAAAAAACACTGGTGGTGTTAGTGGACATTATAGCGTAACTTGTAGTTTCTTGGTCCTTTTCTGAAGTTTTTTCTTTACTATAAACTTCAGGCTAAACTTATCTTATTGTCCGCAAACTCCAACGCAGCCACTTTATACACAGTTTTATGAAACCTTACTCCTCAACTCCAATAACGGTCAATTTACTGCGATTTAAATTTATAGTACGCCAAATTTTCAGGCCTGGCCCATCATCATGATCATCAGAGTCCAATGATGACCTCAGTCTGTTGAGAAAAAAAACTGGATCATTGCCGATTGTGCTTGTCGACGGCAAGAATACGACATCCGAAGTGTTTGGTGCTTGAGCGGTCTTGCGAGGGTGAGGTGATCATGTAAATATTCCTGTTGGCCTCCGGTCTACCACAACAGCAGCAACACCAGACTCCTCGTGTAGATTGCCTTCTGGTAGAACGCCTCCCCCACCCCCTTCTGCGTTGACAAATCATGCGCGCGTGTGTCGTGCAAAGTACACAAGGTAACATCGTCACGACACATCAGCAAGCATCGAGCTCCACAACTCCTACTGTGTCAACAAAGCATGCGCGTGTATGGTGTAAAATACACAAGGCACAGCGTCCCGACACTTCAGCGAACATCGAGCTCATGCAACCTGACGCCCACTCCAAGAAGGCGAGTTTTGCCTCGTGACGTCCAGTCGCCTGTATCTAGCAGCTGGTTGCGTTGGAGGAGGCAAGCTGTACTTCTGCCACTGCTTGCTACAGAAGAGGTCGCACTACTTGCCACAGAAAGAGGAGACAGCTCGTAAGAAAGAGAGAGAGAGAGAGAGAGAGAGAGAGAGAGAGAGAGAGAGAGAGAGAGAGAGAGAGAGAGAGAGAGAGGGGGGAGAGAGAGAGGGAGCGAGGGAGAGAGAGAGAGAGAGAGAGAGAGAGAGAGAGAGAGAGAGAGAGAGAGAGAGAGAGAGAGAGAGAGAGAGAGAGAGAGAGAGAGAGAGAGAGAGAGAGAGAGAGAGAGGGAGAGGGAGAGAGAGAGAGAGAGAGAGAGAGAGAGAGAGAGAGAGAGAGAGAGAGAGAGAGAGAGAGAGAGAGAGAGAGAGAGAGAGAGAGAGAGAGAGAGAGAGAAGCAGTGGTGGTCCATCTATCGAGGCTGTCCCGGATTGTGGGAGGAGACAACGCAACTGTGGCACAGAGTGTGGGGGATAGTTATCGCCGTATCCCTGCTGTGAGGCACATGGCTATCTGGACGAAAGATTATACTTGAGAACGTACCGGTTTGATTGTTGCACATTCCAGTACGTGCTAGGGCACATTCAGGAAGCCAGGTCGCCTATTTGCGCTCACCTATAGCACCAGAGAAGAGGCATGCCATCACACTGCAATGGCTGGCCCACACTCTCCTCACATTAGACCAGCTTTCACACGTGTACTGCATAGGAGCATCTACTGCCCACCCAAAAATCGTACATGATACCATTGGAATGGTCAAGAGAGAAGACTACCCTGTTCTCAAAAGTGCATCAAGTTCTCCTGCAGCGACAAACTTCAAACTGGCTTTGCAGACACAGATGTACTGCATAGGGACACCCACTGCCCACCAACAAAATCGTCCATGATGCTATCGGAGTGGCGAAGAGTGAAGACTACCCTCGTCTCAAAAGGCATCAAGTTTCCATGCGGCAACGAACTGCAAACTGTCATGACTGACTTTGCACACGCGGATGTAGTGCATCAGATTTCCTCGCGGCTACAAGCTACAAACGGCCACGACTGGCTTTGCAGACCTGGCCAGGTCGCGTCAGTGTGTTGGAGCTATTGATGGTACATTCGCCCACATCAAGAAGGCAACCCTGTGGGGGGAATACCTACTGGTGCTATAAAAACTTCATAGCAATTATTATGCTCGCTGTTCGTGATCACCACCACTGCCAGTTTACGTTTCTTGATGCTGGCAGAGCTGAATGGGCTGGCGACGCATTCACGTACCGTGAAAGCTCACTTCGCCAGCTGATTACCAAAGGCACAGGAGAGAGGCTCGACGAGTACTGTTACGTCCATATCTCCCTGCATTTCCTCATATATCACACGTGTGCAGCTAAACGAGGTCTCGCTGCACAAGCTCCCACAGGAGGCTGACGCTCGATCCCGGCTGAGCAAACCATCAGCCCAGGAGTGCTACCCCCCACCCCCACCCCCCGACACCTACCCCCTCCCCCCTCTCCCGTCCCTATGGTTACAGACACGAGTGACAGCTACAGTATACAGTGGTGGGAAATGAAATCCAACCCTGTGAAGAGAGCAGATGCATGGTTCACTACACACTCCACTGTTCACAGTGCTCGGTTTGTGCAGTCCCAGGACTGGTATATTCTCGGGGTTGGATTTCACTTGCCTGCACTGTACAACTACTGTTGTGATTATTGAAATCCGCTAAGAAGTCAAGCGGCAACAGGGCGCTGGCCTTGCAGCTGCTGGTCCATTTTTCACAGTGCGTATGTAAACTACAGTGCATGTACGGGCTAAACGCAGTAAGGGCGTCGGGCCCTGGTCATTCCACTGGATTTCAATTTCCACAACAATGCCCCACCGTCACTGCCCCATCTCGGTGCAGCCCCTGCTCCGTAGTTGTCACGTTTGTCCCAGTCTCAGTACCATTGTCTTTCATTATCATTTTCGAGTTGGGTATGTGAACTATGCTGAACATAGTAGGGCTGAAACGATCGTGGATTTTCACGTATCGATTACTCTTTAGCTTAACGATCGAGTAATCGATTATAATCGTTTGCAAATAGTGTCATAATTCTGTGCAAACATTACTCTGTTTCCACAAACTATGCCTTCATAATACCAACAAATCTGCATTAGTGAAAGGGTAGCTCCGAAACATGGCAGTTTTGAAGTCAATTTAACCTCAGAACATGAACCATACCCCTGGCAACTGCATACTCCCAGCGGAAGCTGATTCAAACTTCACAAAACGAGGGTTTACAGAACTTTCTGGACACAAATTTAAAAAACGCAAAATAATCGTAATCGGTAATCTAAACGATTGCTCGATCGCTAGAGTTATCAAACTAGTACTCGATTATTCGGTATAATCGTTTCAGCCCTAGAACATAGTAAAAAAAGTACACCGGAGGATGCACCCAGTGTGCTGACAGTGCTCAACACCGCGGAGGCAGAGCGTAATACACAGAACAACAAGGACAATCAAGGCTTGTTGCCTGATGATCGCGAGAGCATGAAACTTTTTAAAAGTACAGGTAGCAGCAAACAAGCCTTTATTGCCCTTGTTATTCTCCATAGTAAAAAAATTAAAAAACAAAAACAAAAAACAGTACAACAACAACAACAGCACTAACATGTAATGGTGGTCGTCACATTGTATGAACAATGCGTGCCGGTCCGCTGCTATCTCGCGAGACAGAGCGCTGAGAAACTCGCGCTTCGGTCCCGTGCATATGCCTGGATGAAACGAGGTGCATGCACGCACACACATACACGTACACATACGTACGCACGCGCGCGCGCGCGCACACACACCACACACATGCATGCAGCATGCATGCAATGAAGGATGGAGGAGAGAGCACTTTCGTACAGGAATGAAACAAATACTCATGCGGAGCGGAGTCGCAGCTCGTATAGCGTTCATCATGGACTCCAAAAGGTCTGGTGTAACAAACGGCAGATCACATGACCCCTATCCATTAACATCAATCTCTAGTGATCACGTGACCCATCACATGACCATGAGTCATGTGACCACACATCATGTCAGTGATGTCATTTATGTGACCATGGGTCATGTCATGTAACCGTAAGTCACATGACAAAGACAACATATCTGACCATGAGTCACATGATTAGTTATCTGACCTTGAGTCACATGACCATGAATCGTGTCACCATAAGTCACATGACCATGAATCATGTCACCATAAGTCACATCACCAGGTTAAATTATCTGACAATGAGTAACATGGCCATGAATCATGTGACCATGAGTCATACGATAGTAGTGAAAATGAATCACATGACCATGGACCATGTGAAAAGGAATACATTGTCACTAGAGTAGACAACAGGCATACTGTACCTGGTTCATTGAGAAAGGCAATGCTGGGGAAGTTGCGCAGTAGCTCACTACACGGTACATCCAACAGCTGGCTGACGGCGCTGTCCAGTACGTTGTCACGGTCCACGTCACACTCAAACACCGGCGCGTACGGATTGGAGAAGGCCATTGTTCTGTGGTGTGTGCGAGAACAACAATAGACACCCTCAGCAAAAAAACGTTATGTAACGGTATTACCGCAAGGGGGGATATACCGTGATTTGGGTTCGACCTTTAGCAAGATGCACGCTATTTTTAGTACGCTGTTGCCACGAGAATAGCTTTTTTATTTCGCGCGGTACAACTATTATGTCACCATATACGCGATACAAGATGAGATGCGTACGGACCATGCAATATTTAGCCAAAACGTACCGTTGGTCACAACGACAAATCAGCCCCCATAACGTGTTTACGCTGCAGCTTCAACGCTATTTGGGTGATCAAGGCACGAGTACCGTAAAAAATAGCGTTATCGTTGTTTGCTAAGGGTGTCTAGTGAGAAGGAAGTGCACATGTGCATGTATAGCGACACACTCAGTAAGGCCAAAACTAAAAATAGGCTTGTTTCGGGTCGGCAACTCCTCAAAAAGGAGACTCAGTCGGCCGGAATGAAACTTTTTTTGGATCCTTTTTTTGGCTTATCAATCGTTGTGTTATTGATGAACAAGAGCACCTACACAATGTACATATACATGTTTCATGGTAAGGATCAATGTCACAGTGGACTGACTCTTCTTGTACAGTAGTATCCCCCCCCCCCCCCCCCCCAGTTCCTGTTGTCCTAGCCGAGAAATCAAGCAAACGTGCAGCTCCGTTACACTAGCTTGTATCGGCCCCGGAGTTTTTCGAGCCGACAGCTGAGAATCTCTGCTACCTTGTAGGTAC